AGCTCTTATAAAACTACATTGTAAATAGGCAAAACTAGAAGCTGCATCTCAAACAAGATAAATCAGCACCCCCAGAAGTGTAAAGGATCACAGTGGTCCTAAGAGTAAATCTTTTTAACCACAGTGTGTTATTTACAGTACTTCACTTCTGTTTAGTTAGATATAACTGATTTCTTTACTGATTAATAAATAATACAACATGACAAAAGGTAATAGATAAGATAAACTTCACAAACAAGGGAGTTCTACTTTGAGAATTGAGGATAGTGGTTGTCTTCACATTTGCTCATTATTTCACACTCCTGGCTTGGCTTCATTGCATGAAATTCCGCTTTGCTATTGGCGAAGCTGTTACTCTGTTACTTTCTATATTATATGAGGATCTAATATTATAGTCAATCAACACTAAATATGTAATGGCTAAATAATGTATAGGACTAATGTATAACTGCTTCTAAAGAAATGTCCCAAAAGTGATAGGCTTTTTAAGTCAGCTGAAAGAAGTACACTTAAAAATGAATGAGGGACCATTTTGATTAGTCTGATTTCCCAGGCCTTCAGAACAACAATGCAGAGAGATGAGTGGAAGCTGGTTAAGTGTGTAAGGACGGGAGTCATAAATTTAAATCTCCTGTATTGAGGAAATATTTAGGTAAATTACCTTATCTCCTTTTTTATTATTATAACATAACATTATGTGTAGCATTGCCTACAATAGTAGAATTCTGTATCTCACAGATATGGCAGCTCTAACTTTAAACAGTGTACAGTACATGATTAAAAGGGGCAGTTTTGAATAATAAGTTACAGTCACTTTGAGCCCATCATATTCTGTACAAGTAAAACCTGACTCATAAAATTTAAGCATTTGATTGACATTTAAGCTTGAGATTTGTTTAATTCAAGCCACTAAAACAATTCAATAAATCATGTTTTCATCCTCAGTACACTCAATACACCTCAATACCATTATGAAAGCTAGAAATTAATCATTATGCAATCTTTATTTTGCTAGCCTTTTTTCTGTACAAAAAAATATAAATTACAAAGCATCATTATTAGTGTTTATTAAACCAAAACACACCTGCAGGGCTTTATTGTAATTACCACTTTTACAATAAAATAGTTTGCAGATCAAAAGTTTTTACCAGGGACAACGAGCAATTCTAGGACCTCAAGCTATTCTCATGCAAATGTTATTAAACCTCACAAGAAAATTCATGACTTCAAGCTGAGAGATTGGGATCAGCTTCAGAAGCTGCATGTGACATACAGTAACTTTTTTGCCAATGTTATGTCTTTATGTGGGTGGCATGGTGATGCAGTGGTTAGCATTTCTGCCTCACAGTGTTGGAACCCTGTATTCAATTGCAGACGTGAGGTGGTATCTGCGTAGAGTTTGTACTGTATGTTCTCCCCATGTTGACGTGAGTTTCCTCTGGGTACTCCAGTTTCCTCCCACAGTCCAAAAACATACTGGTAGGTATTATTGCTTCTGTGCAAATTTGGTTGTTAGTGTGTTGGTATGTGAGCATGTACTTGTCTGCATCTGTGTGTGCCTTGTAATGGACTAGTGTCTTGTTCAGGGTGTACCCAATCTTGTACCCATTGCTTATTGGAATATGCCCCAGGTCCCCGGCACCCTGAAACCGGATAAAGCAGTTTGAAAATGGATGGATGGATGACTTAATGTCATTGATCTGCTTAGAAAAGACACCTTTCTTTATCACAAAACTGCAGAAAAGCTTTATAAACAACTTAATTTAGGAGAAATGGTGAATCTAAAAATATTCCAAATGCAATACACAGATAATGTAAGCCACTATTGAATAACATTGCTCTCTCTAATTGATGACAGTGACAAAAAATAACTGACAATATTTGCTGAAAATACTGTATTTTGCACAGGTGTGTAAATTATGATTTTATCATGCAGAAATGTTAACAGCAACTTATTGTACTCTTAGCTCTTCTTTGATAAATAATGAGAATTAGTGCTTTGCCAGATACAAATGTTTTCAGTGTCCTCAAAAAGGTCTAGTGTGTCTATCATCAGACCATTTGCATTTCAAAGTTATTCTTTTAAATGCCCATTGATAATCAAGTGTAGTTTAAAACAATATTATAATAGTTATCCATAGATACTAGGTATAACACATTGCTCTTTAAAGATTTGTGCAGTACCAGTAGTTGGCTACAAAAGTATTCAGTTACAAATATACTATGTAACGTTTTTTGTAAAAAAGCTGCATAACTTAATACAACATTAATCTGCCAATAAAAGAAGATTTAATTGTCAAAGTGCCCATTTCAACTTTAATTTCAGTGACTTTAAATAAACAATACCCAAATTGTAACCAATTAAAAATAGACTAAACTTTAAATCAAAGTATTTTACTTAAACCCCTCTTTTTAATGAGTTTAACTTGTTTTATCTATGTGACAGTGAATGTTCTCTTTCTGATACAATTTCACAGCTAAGTTAAGAATTGGAAAAAATACCACTGCTAATTTAGATCCTACAAGCATCTGCTAAAAGTAATTGCTTGTATTCCTATGACATACTGTATAGCACAGCATGCTTGATGTAATCTTTAATATTGCAGTTACAGGAATGACAAAACACATTATCCCTCACTCTCTGATCACACCAGTACAGTAGGTCACTTCAAATTAATTAATATAGCGTAAATCATTCCCAACACAGAAAATCATTAAACTAATTAAGGTATCCTTCTTACTTATTGATTGTCAGATGCACCACAAACAGCCTCCTGTCTGAGACAGAGCTCTCTGTCTTGAATCCCTAGTGTCTACTAGGTCTTTATCCATGCTGTTCTTTCTTTAAAGGCCCACTGCCTCTGTGTGTGTTGCAGGCACTAGCAAAGAATTTTTAATCTGGTCAGTATAGTGCGCTGTATTTACATCATAGATAAGCTGACTCATGTTTAAAGGAAATAACCTGTGGGGAGGCATTAGGCCTTGTTAAGCTGTAGGCACAAAGACAATGTACTGTATTTGCAGTTGCTGGCCAAGTCTTCATAAGTAACAGGTCAAACAGACAACCTTATATGGAAATGTAGTCAGTAAAAGACAAGGAAGTTAATCAGCTATCCTCTTCTGAAGCATCTAATGGATCTGGTTTTGTATACAGTATTAATACATTTCTTTCCATCATTTACATTCCAGGGTTAAAATACTACTAAACCTGGACAAATGCCATGATGACACAAATTTCTGCTAAACAGATTGCTGCTAAATGTCTTCACACACAATATATTAAAGTAAAACCATATGCACAGTCCTGGAATGTGTGCAGTTTCACACTACCTTGGTGTACTCCGCATTATTTTCAGAATAAACCATTGTTTACTTGAATCCTATTTTTTTCTTTTGAAACCTTAGTATCCCTTATTCAGAAAATATAAAAAATCACACACCCGAACATATTTACTTCTTTATGTGTAGAGTACTGAAGTTACACCTAAAAAATGTCTGTAATAAAAACACAATATTTAGAAATACATTGTCCTATGACTAAATAAATTAACTATACTTATAGTACTAAATAATAAGGTAATACGATTTCAGTTAAACACTAAAGCCATGTCAGCGCAACCTGTCCACTAATAATTAAACCTTTACATTGAACGTAAAGTGAAGGTCTTCTGTAAACCAACAATATCCATTGAAATGTTGATGTTTAAAAAGATCTATACTGTCAAAAAAGTTTCACGATAATTTAATTTAGGAAAATCCGTTGGATAGGGTACACTACTATATGTGCTCTTTACTGTAATGCAGTTACAGTTCGAGCCTCTTTCCAAAAATAACAGGATTCTAAAGTCAAAGGCATCCGGCAGCGTTCTAAGGTGCACTGTCATTTCAAACACGTGCTAACAAAAATTCCAGTACAGATACAGTAACTCAATTTGCAATTGTAAAGGAAAGCGATGATATTTCGTAATTGTTAAAATGCAAATAAAACCCCAAACATAATAAATCCAGGACCGGGTTATTTTAATCGAAACACCCAGACTGGCACCGCTCTCTCTTTTCACAGAGATCCAGCTAATGTTGAACAGAAACACCATTTTAAGCAAAACGACATGAAGCCATACTAAATTTAATGCTACGCCTTCCAGCAATTTGTTCAAATACGAGAACGATTTCCGGCTGTGGTCACTGGTCCAAGAAACTGTCTGGACCAGGTTGATGACTAATCCCATGTTGGGAGGTTGGTTTTGTTTAATTATTCACTCAAGCCAGACACTACCACAGTATCCATTAAATAACGCACAAAAAGCAGACTTTTCGCATTATTTATATTCAACTTCAAAAAGATTAAAGCTGTTTTTAATTCAGTAGGGCCAAGCGCATAAGCAAAACGTTTTGCAGAGCACATCTGGAGAATAATGTGCGTAATATAAGAAGAGGGGTGTTGATTTGTTGGTTTAGGCACCAAAAGTATCGCAACAGTGTAACAGTGTAATTGTATTGCAACATTAACGGATAGTTCCACAGATCTGTATAGGCAATACCGAATTCGAGATTTGCCCGCCAATATTTTAAATTACTCAAGATTAGTGGCAATTTCAGTCTTTGAAACCATTATTAATTTTTAAGGATGTTAAGAAAAATCCCACTTTTAATATTATATAGAGATTTTACATATTACTGCAATTCCCAGTAAATTACAATACTTGGAACAGCATCCCTGTCAGCACTTGCCTATAGTCACAAACTTATTTCGCTCCGAGACGCACCTCCTACCTCCACCCACAGTCAAGCCATTCCCAGTGCTTTTCTGCAGACTACATGCTGTAGATTTGCTACCTACAGTACAAGTTTGTATTTGCCTAAAAATTAAACCTTATTAAATGAACATTAAATGTCATACTTAAATGCCATTACATAAACATACCGCCAATAGCAAATCCTGGTATAAAACTCGAAGAAAGGAAACTATAAAATGAGATATGAAACCCATAAATTCATACCTTGTTAGAATAGGGCGGCTTACTGAGGTTAATTCCATCTCTGATGAGTTTATCCCTAATCATGATCTTCAATTTTAGTTTGGGGTAAGTTACAAGTTCTTTACAAGGTCCAAGGTGCTGGTTTCGGCTCGTGCTCAGATTCCCTTGGTTCTTCCCGGCCCTGTCACCGCTAGGTTCGGTCCACGACTTGGACCCCCTGAGTTTGGTCTCGTATTGCTCCACCATGTGGCTGGTGTAAATCTCTGCAGTGGGGGGCATCGGCTCCAGAGTAAAGTACAGACCGGAGTCAGTTTCTTTTTCTTCCTCTTTCAGCCTCCGCACTGCATCGTGTATTCTTTGCCTGTGGTGAGGAATGAAGACTCCGATAGCATCCAGATCGGGGTCCCCTATCTGTTTACAAACTTCCAGGTCATCGTAACCATTATCCACAAAAGACTCCACATACTGACAAAGCTGGAGGGTCTTCAGCCACTCGTATACAATGTTGGGGCCGGTGTTCATCGTTTTGAGATGAAAAAAAAAAGGATTTCCAATGTACCTGTTTATGCTATTCCTGAACGTATATTATTCCAAAATCAACAAAGACTGAGATGTGCATACAAAAACATTTTATAAAGTAGCCTTGTTTTCAAAATTCTACTGTATTAAACCAGAAATACACCTGGCAGGAGTCCGCTTACAAACGTCGCGCCATCATCTTCTGTTTTGTTGTCTCCCCCTAAATTTTCGAAATGTAGCTAAAGGTAATTTCAATTCGCTGTTTTATAAATCCCAAATGTAGTATCACCTTTGAGGAAGACAGTTTTCCTTTTGTAAAAGTACATTCAGCTCAAACCGTGTCACCAAAGATGAAGAATTTCAATCCAATCGGAATCCGTTACTGCTCTCCAGGTTTGTTAATATTATCAACGGGTATTCGGTTTTGACAAAAGGAGTGAAGACCATCGCACCGTCACAGTAATGCTTGGCTCAACAATTGGTGCATTTACCGTGAACTTACTTCACAGTTACAAATTACAAATATCCGGACGTAATCGCAATGTGTTTCTCCTTTAACGTTCCTCGGGATTAAACGTTTTGTTTAAACGTTTCTTATTTTATTGTAGAGCTGATGTAAAAAAAGGTATCTCGTGTCGTTATTTGCACCAGTAGTTCCACATCCTGGTTAGACACCAAGCATCTGATTCAAACTAACGAGATGACAGAAGTTGCCCGCCGATTCCGATTTATTTTGTCGAAATGAATATTCTTGTGTGCTCTTCCTTGTTGTTCTTTCCTCCTACATTGAGGGGGGCAGGTTATTCTACATTGACCAATTCAGAAAGCACTGCTTGTCTCTTTTATTTTCAATGAATTATAACGCTCTTGTACATCCCTCTCTCCTTGTCTACAGTATATTGTACACACAAACGCTACGGGAATTCTAACACCCAGCGCCCAAGCGGCTTTTTGCTTTGCTCGCTCCAAATCCCGGTCACATTTCTAGCAATATAAAGCTGCTAGTTGTTCTTTCCTCTTGTGACTACTCTTTCCACGTTCGTTGACAATTTCCATCCTTTTTTTAAAAGCAGAACCTACTGTATCTTCTGCTCTTACTATTAAAGCGTAGCTTACATTTCAAGTACCGTAGGGTACAAGAGCTGTCATGCAACCCCGAAACGTCAAATTAAAACATTCCCGGTCGTTGCAAACTTTTTCTTTGGGTAACACTGATTATGTATTCAATTTCTCCCTTTTGTCTGAGAAGCGAAATTACTTGCTGTCGCAAAAGAAACGGCTTTCCCTTGCTCTCTCTAGTTTGAAGTTGCTTCTTTCTGTGCTCTGGTCTTTCTGTAAGCTAGGAAAATGCTTATACTGTAGGCTGTGTTGGTTATTAGACTCTAGCGCCCTCTGCATTTAACTGCGGGAAAATAGTGTTTAAAGCTAAGAAACTGGGGTAGCTTTCTATTATTATTCGTATTGCTGAGGTACATTGGGATATACCTACAAAAGTCTGATATTTTAATTGTTTAGACAATATTTTAAAAATACACATCATGATGCATACCTATACATAATTCGTCGCCATAATCAGTTCTGGTCGTGTTACAGTACTGTACACGTACTGTATCACTCACCCCCCCTTGCAAGTATTGAATTACTTTACATAATACTATTCTTCATAGCCATTGATTTTGTTGCAAAGTCAGCTTCCACTTCCACTTAGTGCCAGCTGCTGTTCATATGACCATGTATATGTGACATACAAAGACATCTAAAGGGACTAACCGTGTAGAGCAGGGGAGCGGAAAAAGACCCATATGCGTAGCGGCGAGACGGGAAAAGGCCCGGGCTCGTTAGTGCAAAGAGTTCAGGAGTGCCGTATAGAAACCTATGCCCTCAGGTATCGGACGTGGGGCGACCTGGTGCTAGGCGGATCTCAGGACATCCGAACGTCAATGCTGAGCGAGGGCAGAGTGCAAGACCCGGAAATATATAGCCCAAGGGAAAGAGAGGGACCGGAAGGACAGCAGGCAGGAAACTAGGGACAGGACAGAGAAGGAGCACCCTCTGGCTGCAGAGGTTGTGACAGTATATGTATAATTATGTATAATTATGTATATGTATAATAATAATGTCACAGGCACTGTGTGAAAGTGTATGGTAAGAAGTACAGTATGTACTGTACATGAAGGCAAATTGTAATAGGTTACAGCTCACGCACTGATGGCAGAACCTAGAGTGAAAGTAAATCTGAATTATGTATTAAAACCTTAAAACCTTGTAGCGTTTACAGGTTCTTTTCAGAACAAAGGACCAGTGGAGATGCGATTAACAAACCAAGCCCTAGCTTTATTCATTAACAACCACACAAAACCAAACACAGGATATACACTCACATGAGGAGACTGACGGAACACGTACACATCTTTAGGGTGGTAATTACTTAACAACACGCTATACTCTTATAAGACTACACAGGGCACTAGAACTACTAGGACATTATTTACACAGGTAGGGTCAGCCGCTGGTCATCGTGCTGAGCCTCAGACTCTCCCCGGCTACCACTCCCAGCATGCCCACCAGGCGAGGGCGTTACATTGCCCCCACCTGAAGCGCCTGGCGTCTCGCCGACGTAGAACACCCCCCTCAGGCTGTACTCGTACTCGGCTTACTGCTGTGGAACCCTGCATGAGCGGCCGCTGCGCCGCAGTGACGGCTGGTGACCCACGGACACCCCACTATTGGCCGGCTCCAGTCCCGGCTGCTCATCTAGAGCCTCCCCACACGGCTCCTCCTCCCGGGCCCGGTAGGGGGCCAGGCGGTCTGAGTGCAGGACCACCACTCTCCCCCGTGTTCGCAACCGGACACGGTAGCAGATCTCGCCCACCACCCCGAGTACCTTAGTGGGCCCCTCCCATGACAGCGCCAGCTTAGGGCTGAGGCCTTTGCGGCGGCGCGGGCTGTATATCCAAACCGAGTCCCCGGCGCCCCCTGCAGCGCAGGTCGTAGTGCCGCTTCTGCCGGACCCCTGCCGCAGGTCCCACTCGTAGTCCAGTCCAGCCTGTGGTGCCGACCCGTCTCCAGGTGGCGGGCCGAAGACCAGGTCCACCGGGTTCGCATTTCCCAGCCAAGCATGAGCTAGGCCGGGGTGCACCCGGTGGATTCCTGGACCGCGGTCCTATACGCCCAGAGCGCAAGGGGGAGGTGGCCTTCCCAGTCCCATTGGTGCCGGGACACCAGGGTGGCCAGCTGGGTGGCGAGTGTCCAATTAAACTGCTCCACCAACCCGTCGCTCTGGGGATGTAGCAGGGTGGTCTGTGTCTTAGTGATCCCCAGGCGCTGGTACACTCTGGCGAAGACCTGGGACTCGAAGTTATGCCCCTGGTCACTGTGTAACTCCTCCAGCACCCCCAGCCTGGCAAACATCCCCTCCAGTAGTGCATCAGTCACCGTGGGGGCACTCTGGTCCGGGAGGGCGTAGGCCTCCGGCCACTTCGTAAAATAGTCCATGGCCACCAAGACGTAGCGGTTCCCGGCCTCGGTGCGTGGAAACGGGCCCAAAACGTCCACCTCCACCAGCTCCATAGGAGCCCCCACCTGGTGTTGTTGGAGTGGGTCCCGAGAGCGCTCTGGGGGGCCCTTCTGCGCCACACACACCGCACACGTTCAGCAATACCGCTCAACGTCCCGGTGGCAAAGACCCCAATAAAAATGGCCTCGGAGACGCTGCAGGGTTTTTTTACCGCCGAAGTGCCCCACGCCTGGCTGGCCGTGCACCACAAGCTGCCACCATACCTCACCACTAGAGGGTACCCGCCCATTACCTCCAAGGCCTCCCACAGGGCGCAGAAGGCCTTGATGGACTTTGGGTGGGGGGCGAGCTCCTCTCGCGTAGGCCGCGCTCCTGCTGCCCTCCAGCGGAGCACCGGCCCCACGTCAGGATCAGCTGCCTGACGCTGCGCCAGGTCTGACAGGCCCACCCCCAGCGGCCCCTCCCGAGCCGTGGCTGTGGTGCTCGCCCCCACCACGGTGCAGACAGCCCCCTCACGCTGCTCCTGCCTCACGCTGCTCCCGCTGGGAGTCTGATGGGACCCTCAGACTCTCCCCGACTACCACTCCCAGCATGCCCAGCGGTACTACAAGCGCCTAGGGGCGCTTCCTCCTCACCACCAGGCGAGGGCGTTACAATATATATACTTTACTGTATATGCTCAGGCACTCAATAGCAGGACTCCATATATAGAAACTAGAGTCTTTAGAAGTTTATTAACTTGTTGAATACTTGTTTGTGTGAAATATTTCCATTAATGCGTCAATGTACACAACCTAACTTTGTATACATCAAAATTCACAGGTAAAGCATTTAGTCTATAAAATATGACATACAGTAACTTAATAACACAAGAGATAACCTTCAGCCCAGACAGCCACAGTCCAGCAGGTCTATGTGGCACACATACTGTAAATTATCAATTTGTAAAGACTTGGAATACATGTGTTTTGATCAAATTAGCAAATGAATTTAGTTTGGTTCTGTTAAATTCAGGAATGGGTGACTGGTCCTACAGCACTACGGTGTGTTGGTGTTGTCATTTGAAATAATCTCTTAAATACTTAATTAAAAATCAAAATGAAATTGTTCATAGTATTTAGAAATCTCTGAGGAGTGAACTACATTACTGTATAAAACCTGGTGGATTGTGTTTTCCCAGGTCCAGGGTTGACAATTCTTGTTCTAACAGATAATTTATATAATGGTTTAAAGCCTGCCTTTTTACAATTTGCAGCTAATAACAATGATACAAGACTACAGAAAGGATTAGACACAAAAACACCCTTACATGGTAGCCTGTCCTCATACACTTTGCAGGGTTTGCTAAATAATATTTATTGTATAGCACAGAGGCAGACATACTGCACAGTGCTAAAAACTGGACAATTCTTTTCCTTTCCATACCACCAAGATCAGTGGAAGATGACACATCTGTTGCATTCCTAAATATGTATTAAAATTATAGTGGAAAATGTTTTTCCAGATTTACTGTACCATGTATGTTTTTCTCCAAGTGTGGGAGAAATGCAATGTGTTTGCACAGTGTGGCAGCACCTTCTGAAAATGATACAGACTTTGATTTATGTAAGTTGGAGAACTCCTGTAGCACAATACATAAAACATGTGCTTAAAGTACTATCCTAACAAAATAATAGAGAATGACTCTAGTAATGATTAGGAACAGGTAAAGGTTTATTCCATGCTGAACAGAGAAGAAAAGAAACACAATGTTTCAGCTCCAACAAACCTCCAACGCTATCTATTTTTTTCTGGACTGGCCTGTATGTGTTCCTTTCCTTGAAAAACTGTGACGTTTGAGGAAATAGAAGATAATACTCTGCCTTTCTTTAAGAAAGCGTTAATGGGATCTTTGAATTAATAAGTTACTAACTACAATATACAGTATTCATTTGTAATAATTTTTATTAAATAAAATTACCCTCTCACTTTATGCTTAATCCAAACTCGGTCATTAAAGCTCTAATCTTCCTTAGCCCTAATCTTACCCCAAACATTTCCTTAAACTTCTAAATACTACATTTATCACAAACCTTGAAACCATAACTCTTATTCTAAACATAAACTAATTCTAACTCTACCCAACACTAATTCTGCCCTGAATCATGACCTAAAATCTAAATCCTTTCCCTAACCTCAATACTTTAACCTTAACAGCCCTAACACGGGGAGATTCTGTATTGGAGAGACATGCCACTCAGTGTTTATTACGAGGAAACATTGCAGGAGACTAGCAATTTTCTGGATATGCCACATCCTAGAATGGCCGTTCTAAGGATAAAAACCAGTTCTATTCAAGTGCCATTTTGAATTCTGATATAGTTAATAACATTTAATTTTGAGAGCACTATGTACAGTACAGTGCATATATTAAGTTTTGATTTCTTCCCACTTCCTGAGACATCATCTTTAAAAAGATATTTTCAGAAAAAATAATATATTCAAAAGAACTCTACAGACATGTTTCATTCAATAAAAGCAGTGTCTGGAAATTAATTTATATGTCATGAATTATTATTCCTAGTAATATTCCTAGTATTATTCAGTATTAGTTACACCTATAAGCCTTTTATTTCAGAAAGGTTGCACTTTGTAGTGAGACATACTACATTAAAGGTTTTGTTCTGTCTTTTCTAGGGGTTAAAATAATTTCCTTTGGAACAAATTACATGGATTTTAAAGTCTCACATACAGTATACATACCATTACCCATACAGTATGTATTGCATGATAAAGGA